TTAAGGTATTTTAATTTAAAAATTTAAAAAAACTCACTAAAAACAATTTGCTTGGTTTCTACTGACACCCCCCATATAATAACAGTTGTATTATTAGATAGATTGTGCCTCCTATACAATATATTAAAAGATTAAATGTGTGAAGTTTCTGTAAACAAACTTTGGTGTAACCTCCTATTTAATTAAACTCTACGATAGCACTATGTGAATTGTCTTCCCGACTTGTAGATTTTAGATACTTTCCTTGAATTGTTCATATGAGCAGTAGCAGATAATGATGGGATCTGCAACATGTATAAACACGACCATTTTATACCGCACATCATATCACGAAAAAAACTTCACATGGTCATAGACATCGATATAGGACATATTACACGTAACAGAAATTTCTTTCATCGGAGTTCCGATGTAATCATCTGCCACGTTCCGGTTCTGATAAAAGTCTGTCGCATGTCTATATTTGTAATTTAGTGTAACAAGAACACATTTATGATGATCATAAAGTGTGTCATCAAGGGAAAACCGGATTTTGAGCTTACAAATTTCTTTTTGATATTATGAGTTATTTGAGAAGCTCAAGTTTATTTAAAATCAATGTAAGTATAATTATATTAAATTGTGGAGACGAATCTGTTTTTTTTTTAATATTAAAATTAAGTTCTAAATAATTTATATTGTCAAAAAGACTTATTAAATATAAGATCAATTTTATTTTTATATATAATGAATGAAACAAAATGAATAGAAACGAATGTAGTTATTAAAGTTTTTAGACGTATGGGCTGAATTAATAGGGTATGTAATGAATTACAATTAACTGATATGCGACAATTTTGACTAACTATATCTATTTAAATTTAGAAATAAATATTAAATTTATTGGAAAAAAAAGATTACGACTAAAATATTTCTTTAGAAATCGTCAAAGATCAGTCAATACAAAAGTAAGTTAATCAATTAATATATATAATTCTTTTAATAGCATTATTGCAAAAAAGAACTAAAACCAAAAAAAGAAAAATAGTTCTTTATACAATGACGATATTGTCTTGACCATCTTATTAGATGTCAGAATCTTCGGATTATATGCTTGGAAAGGAAGAAATAGAATATTAGGACATTAATACCACTTATATTATACATTTATTAAATGATTTTTTATTACAAAATTTAAACAACATTAATTGAGCATGTGCATATTCTTTTGGTAAACAAAAAAAAATTTTTTTTATATTATTCATAGAAGAATTTAACTTTAAATAACCGGCGGTGATCATCACCGGTGTATAATTAGCCAATAACGATAAAACAATAAAAAGATTTCATTTCATTTACTTTAGGGTTAGGACGATGCCTGGGATTTTAACAAGGTATCACATATATGCAAATTTTAGCAAGGAATTTTTTTTGTTAGAACGTCGAAGGTGGTTTCATAGGCGAATTCTTGAGATATTGGCATTTTTTTTTAAAAAAAATTCAATTTGCACGTTACACCTGATCCTGCAAATTTATTGGCTAATTACAGAAGTTCATAATTCTCAACTAAATATATGCAAGTTTTTCTCATAGATTTTTCGATTTTGCATATAGCGGGAACTCGACAATTTTTTATAATACGAATTGTCAGGTCGTTATAAAAAGAGAGTTTACTATATTATTGATCCGAATTCACTCTTATTTTAACTCGCTCGTTTTTTTCGGATTTAGTTTTAAATCTCGAATCTTAATCATTAGTTAAAATATATATTTTTTTTAAAAAAAAAATAAACCGAATTAGCTATTCGAATCAGATTACATAAAATTTCGCCAGATCTGACCCAACCTGATCTGTTCTTACTATTTTTACCGTTGTATACTAATTTGACTTTTTAATCAATTAATCTAACTAGTGAAAAAGGAATGTTGTATGAAGATATTACAATGTATCATAATAAAAAAATATATAAATACTGTAAGCCCACCATTCAAACTTGACAATAACTTATAATTGACAAATATGAAACTTATTAATCTTCTTCTCTTTCTCTTCTCTGTTTGCACCGTTTTCGCTTATTCTTCATTTGATAATTTTGAGTCTTTGAACACTGAAACATCAGATCTTACCGACGATCCTATCACAAACGAAAACTCCCTGAAAACATCACAACGTAATTTTTGTAGCACTAAGGAAGGAAGATGTATACAAAAATGTGGTCTTCCGCCATATTATCTTCCATTATACCGATTTAATTGTTTCATGAAGTGCATGGGTAGAATTTAGAATTACATTAAGAATCACTATTAAATATTATGGTGCTTTGCAATAAAGTGTGACACAGTGATTTTTGTGATAAACAATTGTATATATTATGTTATATTAAAATCTTATGAAAACTTAATAAAACATAAATAAAAAAAACATATAATTGATGCAAAACACCAAAAGTGCGTTTTATATTCAGAGTTCGTTATATATATTATAGAGTCAACTCAGTAATTTTGACTCAAAAGTTTTTAATCGATTTTATTATTAAAAAACATTATATTTTCATATATTATATGTTATTCATATCCTAAAACTTTCTTATTTCGTCGGCCAAAAATTTTTTTTTAACAAATTTAAAGTATTAAATTGTATAAATAAAACTTTAAATGATTGATCAATTAGTTTATTCGATTGATCACATGAGAAATACGTTTAAATGAGTTAACCAATAAGATATAGCTTCAATCCCATAATTTTTTTTTATATGTGAAACTTAGGGTATATAAGCTTATCAATTCCACCTTAATTTTGTGTTGATAAGAAAGGAGAGATAGTTGGCAATCCCCTCGATAAGGACGGAATTGGGATTATATCCCTCCATCAACATAATTAAGGCATTTGTCAATCCCCTTTGGGGTGCGACGTCTTATAAAGTTTTTTTTTATTTTTTCTCTAATATAAAAACTTCTTGGTTGAATTATTTTTTTTGACCACTTCATGTACTTTATACCTTGAAAAAAAAAACATTCTTGTTATAAATTCTGTTTCGTACAAGGAACAGTGTATGGCTCACAAGAGAAAGAGTTCGCCAAATATATTTGTCCGATAGGTTAGAATGATTATAATTTTTCACTTGTAGCAGCATGATTTAAACAAATATTAAAAATATAATGAACTCGTTCAAATTATTTCACGTATACTTTCGTGTTCAAATTAGCAGTTCAAATCACAAATATTAAATTATTCGTTCGATGCATAAACAATAATTTAATAATTTTTCAAGTATAAAAGGGGAACCCTGTGATAGTGATGAATTTTCACATGAATTTTGGCGAGTTTCGTCTTTAAACATTAGAAACTTTATTACCATTTAATTCATTTAATTTGAAAAGAAAAAAAAAATTGAAATGATACATATCTTTATAATTAACTTTTATTCAAAATAGATGTGAATCTCGTAAGTTTATTTAAGTTTATTTGTTATCATTAAATAATTTATTTTTAGTCATTTTTTTTTTATTCTTCGAAATTATATTTAGAAACGGTTTTTGGACTATAATCTATGAGGAACATAACTATCTTTATGAAATGAATCATCACTACGTAAGAAAAAGCTGTAGAATTCTAATTAATTATGAACAGGACATTACCAGAGTTTTATGATTATTATCGTTATATGGTATAGTTAGAATTAGCGATTCGAATTCATAAATTCATCAAAATAACCAGTTACTCAATATTACCGTTTCTGTTTTAGCGCAAACATCTCGCGCAGTTAATTATGTACAAGAGATTTTGGTCCGTTTTAATAAAAACAATTTTGTAATCATATACCAGTATAGCAAGGTAAAAAATTAATCATTTAAATTATAATAGATGGAAACAAAAAAAATATATATTGATGTAACTTTTAAACTTTGGTATAATAAAAATGAAATAAAGATATATAGTAATAAAAGAGCAAAATGATAAAATTTCACAATACGTAAAAGAACGTTCGTTAAAAAATAAATCGTTTTCCTTTTAATACTATATTAATTCTAAAAATTATTTAATCGTCATTAAATTAGTATAATATTATAATAGATAATTTTAAAACATTTATAAATTTATTATATAATCGATTTAAAACATTTCCTATTCTATATTACATTCTAAAAACTCCAAATTGTGTTTTCTCAATCGGAGCATTTAGAGCAGCACTGAGTGCTAATCCAAGAACTTTACGTGTATCTGCAGGATTAATAACTCCATCATCCCAAAGACGTGATGACGAAAAGTATGGATGTCCTTCATGTTCATATTTAGCACGAATTGGAATTTTGAACTCTTCTTCTTCTTGCGCAGACCACTTATAATAAGTAAATTAAAATATCAAAATATCAAAAATTTAATTTTTAAAATAAATAAATAAATAAAATAAAATAAAATAAAAATTATTTTACGTATTAATTTACCTCCTCGCCTTTCTTAATCTTTGATTCTCGTTTAATTTGTGCCAAAACACTTGCTGCTTGTTCACCACCCATAACAGATATACGAGCGTTCTGACATAATTTAAAGATTTATTAGATTAATTAAATATTAAAATAATTCAAATAATAAACTAGAATATATAAACGTACCGGCCACATCCATAAAAATCGAGGACTATACGCTCTTCCACACATACCATAATTACCAGCACCAAAACTGCCACCAATAATTATCGATAATTTTGGTACTTTTGCACATGATACAGCTGTTACAATTTTCGCACCATTCTTGGCAATACCGCCAGCTTCTGCTGATGATCCTACCATGAAACCTGTAATATTCTGCAAAAAAATAAGCGGTATACCACGTTGCGCACAAAGTTCAATAAAATGAGCTCCTTTTAATGCAGATTCTGAGAAAAGAATGCCATTATTCGCAACGATTCCAACTGGATAACCATGAATATGTGCGAATCCTGTGATGTAAATGATCCAAACATTATTATTATTATTATTATTATTATTATTATAATGTATATTTTCTAAACAAATATATGAAATGGTCATTACCAGTAATTAACGTTGATCCATATAATTCTTTAAATTCATGAAATCGACTTCCATCAACAATTCTTGAAATCACATTTTTGACGTCAAATGATTTGCGTAGGTTATCACCAACAATACCACCAATTTCTGATGCAGAATATAAAGGTTCTTCTGGTGTTCTCATAATAATCTAGATTTTATAAATTATATATCATTAAATGTTTAAAGTAAACTGTATTTAATTAAAATATATATTATTTACATTTGGTTTTTTTATCCAATTAAGTGAGTTAATGGCATTTCTTGCAATTTGAAGAGCGTGCTCATCGTTAGTAGCGTAATGATCAGTGACACCAGAAGTTCGACCTAAGATTAAATAGTAATATGTATAATATTAAATATTTAAAATATTTTTAGGATACTTTAAAATTGATAATAAAATCAATTCTACACTCACAGTGTAAATCGGCACCTCCAAGTTCTTCTGCAGTGATCACTTCACCAGTAGCAGCTTTAACCAAGGGTGGACCAGCTAAAAAAATAGTTCCTTGTTTTCCAACAATAATACTTTCATCAGACATAGAAGGAACGTAAGCTCCACCTGCAGTACAAGATCCCATCACAATCGCGATTTGTGGAATTCCTGCAGCAGACATAGTTGCCTATTCTGATGTTCATGAATGCATAGGTCTTTTAAATACAAATAAAATATTAAATTACTAACCTGATTATAGAATATACGTCCAAAATGGTCTCGATCAGGAAATACCTCTGCTTGCTGAGGAAGGTTGGCACCTCCAGAATCAACTGAATAAATTTATTTGTTTATAAACTTTCAATCCTTCGTTATAATAAATTTTTTTAATTTTAAATAAAATTTGTACCTAAATATATGCATGGAAGTCGATTTTCAAGCGCAATTTCTTGTGCTCTCAAATGTTTTTTTACTATAATTTAAAAATAAATTATTATTAATTAAAATATAAAAGTATAATTTTGAAAATAATAATAATAATAATAATAATTTTTATACCTGTTATAGGATAGTAAGTACCACCTTTAACAGTAGAATCATTTGCAACAATCACGCACTCCACTCTAACGTAATAAAATTTATTAAATTTTAATAAGAACCCTTTTTAAAATTTCTCTAAAAAAAATTAGATTTTTCTAACCCTGATACACGTCCAATTCCAGTAATTATTCCACCAGCAGGTACATCATCTGAATATAATTTGTATCCTGCAAGTTGTGAAAATTCTAAGAAAGGTGACCTGAATTACGTAAATTTAGATGAAAGAATCTTTGATAATAAAATTTTCTTCATATTTTAAATCATAGAATAAGAACTAACTAACCCATTATCTATTAATCGATTTATCCTAATTATATAAAATGAAAATTCGACGAATAAAATTAGAAAATATATAAATATAAAAGACTATTTACACTGCCTGCCAAAAAAAAAAAACTTTTACGTAAAAATTACTTACAAAGTATCTAAGAATATTTTTTTTAACATAAGTTTTTTTGATAATTTAGTAGGCAGTGTATCTTATAAAAAATATATATATATACCTGTCACGAGGTAATAATTTTTTACGATCCAAATGACGCTTTCTAGCTTCTTCACCACCACCTAAAATAATATAATAATTGTTTTTTTTTCAAAACTTTAATACATTAAATGAACAGGATAATAGAAATTACATAAATTTTTAAATATTACCTAAAGAAATTTTATTTATAAGTGTTTCTAAATCTTTTACCAATTCGTTCATTTTGGTAGCATTATACTATTTAAAATCAATAAAATTTAATAATTGAGGAAATTAATAATTATACTGATTTATTTTTTAAATAATGATTATATTTACTTTAAATTCTTCGCTTTTTATATCAACATTATTTTTCAATATACTTGCATCCTTTTCATGCCATGTATGATAATTTGAATAGTTTGAAAAATATGAAAATCTAATTCTTTTATGACAAATATTTGTATAATCTTTTCGAATTAAAAATGAAAGAATTCGATTTGAATACATTATCGTTATATATAATATTGATATGCAGTGAGAGAGAAATATCATTGACTTTATATAGGTCATGCAGATCAATTATTCGTTATACCATAAATAATAATAATGCACTATTCTGCATATTCTGCAGTTGAACTTTTTATCGTTGTTTCTTTAGATAGCGGTAGAGCTTTAATTTAAAGTTTCAAATCAAAAATTTTTAATTCTACTTACATGATCTGTTTAAATTAGTTTATGACATTAGCTGGTTCTCATATTCTAAACAAAGTCTGCATTTATCGAATCGTATACATTATCGATGAAAGTTTTTATGAAATGATGTATTTGCATAGTCTGATCTTTCATTGAATTAACTAATTAGAAATAATTTGATTCATGAAAAAAAAAACCTTCAAATAATTGGAAATAATCCTTATTTTAGAACTGTAATTACAGTACTTAAATATTCGACATTTCATTTCATATATTACTGTGTATCTTGAACTTGATTATACCCAATTTATCCTAAATAATAAAACATTTTTATTGTCTTCAAATAATTAACTAGATTACCCAAATCATATCATTCCTATTGATTTATATCGCTAATAATATATTTAACCTTAGTACAATTTTATTTTGATTTTAAATAAATTTCATAATAAATTCAAAGTTTTAAAAATTCTAGAATCGTAAAATTTCGGGAGCATAGGTTAGGCATTCATTATGATAGGTTTAAATATCCCGTTTTTTGTTTTTTTTCGCATTTTTATTTTTCTTTCTGGGATGATACATATTCTGCATTTCCGTAAATTTTTGGACTTGACACCACTTTGTTCTATGTACAGCATAAAGTTCTAATTATCAACCTAAAAATTTCGCTGCTAGGTGTTTTTCGTTATTTTAAAGTTTGAACATTGTAATAATACCAAATTTAGCGAGGAAAAATTTTAATTAATACACAGAAGGCAGTTTAATATGTAAAATCTTGAATTAAAAAAATGAAGTGTTTTGGAATGATAACATGAGATATATCCAATCAAATTTAAGCTTTTAAGAGTTAATATATGTCGCGGATTATGATGAGATTTGGATGATGGTAAGATTAAGAACCTTGGCCAATAGGATTTTCTAATCTCACCATAATCCGTGACAATATATGATTTCTTTTTGAATTATCATTATTACCCTGATGGGTCTAATCCGTCCAAAATTACTAGGGATGTTAAATTGCGAATCCAGTCCGGTCCGATCCTAGGACCTTAAGGCGTATGCTTTTCAAAAACAAAAAAAAAAACTTGCCAATTGCAAGAATTTCTTTTTGCTAAAAGCTATTGCGAGTGCATAATTCAACGTTCAACGAATGCAGATCTTGAAATTCATAAAGGATTTAGGTTCCATATAACTATTATGTGATTTAAGAATCGAATCCTTCCTTATAGGATTCGGTCCCTAAAAATTACATTCATACTGTAATTCTGCATTACAACAGAATTGGGCTTTTATCTACATATCCCTATAAATTAGACCTTTAACGTATTCAGAAAGAGATCTAATATGTGCATAATGACATTAACATGATTCACATGTTGCAGGCGGCAATTTATATAAAAACAAAATATCGATACTGTTTAAAACAACTTCTAGCATATTTTTTTTTTAATTTTTATAGCAAAAATGTTAGATGAAGAAATTACTATAATCACTAGCAAATTGAATTTTACGGATTGTGACAAATTAGCAGATAAAAAAGATTCTAAGGGAATGTTCATGCTTGGTTATTACTATGAAAATGGAATTGAGGTCGAAAA